AAAACTGTCGGAATGGACTTTCTAAAAACAGTTATATACTCTTTACAAGAGACATATTAAAAACATAAAGACACAGAAAGACTGAAAATGAAAAGATGAAAAAGTATATATTAGACAAAAGAAAGCTTGTGCACCCATGTAGGTAACAAAAAACAGACTGAAGATAAAACTTATTAGAGAAAAAGAGAATCCCTATATGTCAAAATTGAACAAGAAAGATACACTTCTACACTTATGCAGTTACACTTCCAAGCTTAACAGCAAAGCTTTGAAAGATATAAAGCAAAAACGGACAGAATCACTAAGAGAAATGATGTTGGACATTAGAAAATACTTAGATATAAACAATTACAAATAAATTACAAAACTTGTGGAACTAAAAGGATCATTTAGAAAGAAATCCGTAGATCATAATGCTTAAAAAAGACAGCCCAAAACTTTGAAAACGAAGCGTCAACTTGAGAAGTCCAAAAAAAAAAAAAAAAAGTAGCAAAGAAGTTAAGTGACTTTTCTCAAAACCAGCTGGTTAGCGGCATAGCTGAGGTTTAAAACCAGGTCTCCTTCACTCAAAGGATGTGGCTGTGATCTTTTCCTTATGGCTTTTCTGAATAAACAAGCCCCAAAATCAGTTTGAGAGAGAAAAGTCTTGGTGGCCGTGTGAAAGAAGAAAATTCTTAAAGCTGAACTGAGATTGTCCAAGGAAATGGTGGTTAAGCTACCAGAAAAGTAAAACTTCTAACATCAAAAAAGAGGTTGAGCAATTCATCCACCGGGCACATGTTTTGAGTTATTTTAATTTACTTTTCCTATGTACTGGAACTTGCCTTTCTGAACAGTTTCTGGCTTGGCTTACACTATTTAACTTACTAAAGCTTTTCTAAAAATTATTTTTGGGGTATGACCTCAGAATCTTGCTGGGCCCCAAGGCATTTCTCATTACAACCCATGCACATTTAGGTAACTGAATCACATCCTTACTAATGGCTCTCTTTCTAGCTTAGAGTCTTTGCCCAGTTGTGATTATGTAAGAGACAGGCTGCAACATTCCCTGCCTTTTGTCCTGGTTGAGCATCATTCGAATAACACAGCACCCAGCATTTACTTGGGCAAGATATGCTGTCCCAAAATTGTTTTTTACTTAAAAAAGAAGAAGAAGAAGAAGAAGAAGAAGAAGATGTCTTGGTAATTCTGATTCCTCACTGAAACTTGTTTTCAGTTAAAAAGAACTTCTCAAAATAACCTACCCTCCTCCTTTATCAAGGACACCTATTCAAAAATTTGTTTCCTTAAAGTGTTAGCAAATTCAGAAAGTGCCAAACCACAAACCAAGAGATAATCATTGTTTCTCAGGCTCCCACTGAGAGCAACTGTTTTCTCCCCACCCCACGGCCATCCCTCATGTCAAAGATTTATGAGCTATTTTAATAACACAATTATTAAAATGAAGCATACTTTTTAAATATTAAGTATTTTAACCACTACCTTTATTTCAACAATAGAAGGTTATCTTGAATAAAATACCCCAAAACAAAAACAACACAGCAACCAAAACTAACCTTAATCCTTTCAAGGATTTAGTAGCTGTACCTTTTAAGACATTTGTTTCAAATTGAGCATTCAAATAATAATCACAACTAAGCAGATTTCAGCATGCACATATGCTCTGTTTTAAACTGTTAAATTCACACAGTTTCAGATATTTTTATGAGCAAACCCTAAAAGCCAGTTCAATGTCTTGCCTCAAACCTCTATATTAAAAAAAAAAAAAACTACCTAAGATGACAGCAGCAGCAGCATAGTTTTTGGATCGCCCCAAATCTACGCATAAAACCACACAGAACAACTGAATAACAACATCAAGAACCCAAGAACAATGTGCACAGCCAATGCCATTATCTGAGGTCTTGCCACTGGGTTCAAACATGCGTCTGATCAGGCCTGTGGATCTGGCTACCAGTTTGCAGGAAATGAAGAGGCCAGGGAAAACAGGTGAGCAGCACCCTGAGAGGGCAAACAACAAGATTCAGACCATGGGAAAGTCCACAGGTTAAATGCCCTGTATTCTTCCAGAGATAAACTGTTAGGGATAAAAAATGGGGCAGGGGGATGGAGCAACAGAAAGGAAACCTGTGATTAAAAGAGTCTTTTTTTTTTTAATATTTTATTTATTTATTTCACAGCGAGATAGAGCCAGAGAGCACAAGCAGGGGAAATGGCAGAGGGAGAGGGAGAAGCAGGCTTCCCGCTGAGCAGGAAGCCCAAAGTGTGGCTCGATCCCAGGGCCCTGGGATCACGACCTGAGCGGTAGGCAGACACTTAACTGACCAAGCCACCCAGGTGCCCCAAGAGAGTCTTGAAAAAGACACAAATTTACCCTTAAATGTTAGGATTAAACCCTAGTAGCCTTGGGATGTACACCTGGTGATAATACTATAAGGAAATACAGGGAAGCATTTACTTTAAAAAGCAGGATAATGGCAACTTTAGGAAAAGAAAAGGGGAATAAGGCTGTGGCTCATGGAGGGGTTTACTGAGGCAGGCAGAGAAATTCTATTTCCTGACTTAGGTGATGGTTATAAGCATGTTCACCTTAGGATGACTCAGTAAGCTAAATATTTGCTTTGTGTGGTTTTATGTATTTGTGTTGTTTGTTTTTTTTTTTTAGGAAAATTTGTATCACTTGTATAACCTGTCACAAGAACATTCATGACAACATTTAAAATAATTTACATTTATTTAAAAGTTATATGAAACATTTAAAATAATTCTATGAAAATAAACAATATTATAAAATAATTACATGGAAGTAAACAATATTACTAAATTCTAGTTAGCTACTATAGCCTGGGAAGTTTCCAAGGCTGATTTTGTGTGTTTAAAAGGAAACTAACAAGTGTTGCTGAGTGTTAATGACATGCTACCCCCGAAATGAAATTTCTGTCTTGACTTACACAGGTCTTGAAAGAGATCTGAAAAGGGAATAACTTTCTCACTCCATGATTCAGGATTACCTTATGCTTTGCCACGTATTACCTTAACTCATCTCCTGTTTCACTTCAAGTCTTCTCCTGGGCCATCCCATGTTCTATGCTTCTGGAAACACTGGGTTAATAAAAGGTCTGGCAGGGGACCCTGAGTGGCTCAGTCGGTTAAGGGGTTAAGTAAGCATCTGCCTCAGGCTCAGGTTGTGATCCCAGGGTCCTGGGATCCCCTGGGATGGAGTCCCACATCAGGCTCCCTGCTCAGCGGGGAGCCTGTTTCTCCTTCTCCCTCTGCCCCTCCCCCTGCTCATGCTCTCTCTCTCTCTCCCTCAAATAAAGAAATAAAATCTTAAAAAAAAACAAAGGTCTGGTGCAAGAGGGTATGTCAGACCTAAGAGGGGGCTGAAAAAACAAAAACTTAGCACTCTCAAATCATCAACAGATTCATTTTATTCATTCCAGCCCTTTCTGAACACGCTTAAAAGGTTTACTTTTCCATTATGAGCATTTAAGCAACAGACCAACATGAGGCTCCTGTGAGAGCTGCTTGTTATCGTCCTAGTTACAAGCACACACACTTTGCTAGGTACTTAGAGGGCACCTCAGAGCCTAGCAATAATCTGCCTTTGCCTTTATGCCTAATGTGTTCAGAGGTTCTCAAGTGACAAGAGGCCCTGTATCTGAAAGAGCAAATTTCAAAAATAAGTACAAAGGCCCTCCCTCATCTGAACTCCGTATCTTAAAACAAGGCACCACATCCTGAGCTGCTGGCTCATCAACACTAGGCCAATATGACCTCAAAGCCCTTTAAAAAAAGAAAAAAAAAAAAAGTTGTATCAGATTACATAATAGACTTATAATAAAAACTTGTAATGAGGAAAAAAAACCCTGAAATTCAAACAGAGCTCGGTCATGTTTTAAAAACATTTATGTAAAATACATACAAAAAGTGGCCCGATTCTCCTATAAATGAATTGAGAGCAGGTCTGCTTTTACCTCCTCCCCCCACCACCTTTGCTAGATTCATTTGAAGAGAAAGAAAACAGGAGCCAGGATGGTTTAATTTTTCTGGCCCTGCTGCTCGCAAAAGAGAAGAACAGTGACGCCAACACATAAAGACCAAGTTCAGGCAACTGAAAGGGAACTTGTGTAACAAAGGAAGATTAGGGTTGAATTCCTGTCTTCAATCTCTGTATCTTAATCAGTCCCCCTTGCAACCCCGTTTCCTCTCTTCTCTCACTACCTCCTGCCTATCCTGCATTCCCTTCCCTCTTTGTTTTATAAACCCTCAACCTCCTAGCTTACGTACAATCCTTCCCTTGTTTTTCTATTTTCTGGCTCCTTATGAGACATGTGTAAACAAATACTCGAACATACAGAAATCCCAAGTTCTGCTCACTACACAGGTGCTTATGGAAGCCCAGTGCACTGTTTCCATGATTTCTGAGAAAAACACACCTAATTTACATTCCCTGGATCCTCTCTGTGAAAGCAGGTACACCCTTGGGTGATAAGGCCAGTTCCCTGGCTCAATTTCCTGTGAATACCCAGAGCCAAAGGTCCTTTCATGAATACTTCGCTGATTGTAGGAATTGATGAATGTTTAAATAGGAAGCTCTCTCTCCACACTAGCACCTGATGAGATCAAGACTTTACGTACAGAAGTTAAAATAATATTCACATTTAACCCTCCGTTCTAGAAATGACTATAAGCAAAGAAACCCAGAAATGTCCAGAGCCCAGCTAAGCCCTCCTCAGCAACACAATGTGTCACTCGGGTACACAAGACAGAAACTCAAGTCAGACCTGACACTTTTTCGGCTACCATCCTGAACTTGTGCCATTTTCCTCAAGACATGGGGCCCTGGCCCATGGACCTGCTCTCAAAGGCAAATCTAGAGCAGGAATGGTGAGGTGGTAGGGGGCTGAGGAGGGTGGCACTTGTAGTTTGGAGTTTTCACCCAAGTCCTTTCCAACGAGCAGTAGAGAAATATGAGAGCCTGTTTAGACATTACTTACTGCCTGTTGGATATCAGTCTTCACTTGCTCACTCAACATGCCTTCAAAGACAAAGGAGTCACCAAACTTCTCAGCCTAAAAGGAAAGAAGGAAATAAAAATCCAGAAAGGTTGTAGCAACATATTTCACATGTACCGTTTTCTTTGTGCACCGTAAAACTGATTGTTCTTGTCCAAATGACCTTTAGTTTTTCTTATGACTTCCCAGAGGATTCAGAAATGACTTAAAAGCATCTGGCTTCCTATTAAAACAGGTTAATATCAATCACTTACAGAGATCACTGTCTTTTCAGGCTCATTTAGCTGATAAGAATGCAGACTGGAAGAGATTAGCTTTTGAGAATGTGATTGCTCCTGTTGATGGAAACACATCTCCCCAAGTGTTTCAAATGACTTGGAAAATAATATTCTTTACATGTCGGATTACATAATCAACCTTCGTTCTTTGTTCTGCTCCAGCAGTCTAGTTAAAAGAATTAAATGACATTGTTTGCTGATATTCTGATAGACTCTAACTCCCCTAAGGGGTCAACTGTGTTTATAAATCTCAAGTGGCCAACTGAAGCATCAGACTGAACTCTGTATTTTGATTATTTCATTTAACATTACTGTCTTGAGTCCTCATCTATCTTGTTTTATTTGTTGCATGTGACCTTATACTGCAAACGCCCACTTAATTAACCCCTTGGTTTCCGTGATTCTACTCTTCTAGCTTCCTTCCTCTTTCTAACTCTTCTTACTCATCTCCTGAAATACATGGGCTCTTCCTCTAGCCGCTAGAACACTGTTGCTCCCTAGTGCTCTGCCCTGGCTCTTCTTTCTCTTCACCAGTGGCTCTCAAGCTTTGTGCAGTGGAGATCACCTGGCCAGCTTATCAACACTACACGTTACTGCTCCTCAACCGCAGAGATTCTGATTCTGGAGGTCCAGGGGAAGGCCAAGGAACCTTCAAGTGTGAACAGCTCAGCTGGTGACTGTAATATAGGTGGGCCAAGAAATCACACTTTGAGATACACGGACCTACAGCTAGACAACCTCCTTCAATCTCATTGCTTTAATGACCAGCAGCATGCACTTCAAACGACCCTCACATCTGCACCTCCAGGCCTCACTAGATGGTGTTAACTCCCTACTGGATCCCTGTAGTTCAGGCCTTATAAATACCTCAAACTCCTTTCCCTGATTGGAGCTTGTCATCTTTTCTTCACTCCTGTTCTTCCTCATCTTTCCCTTGTGGGAAAGTGCCTAAGCACCTAAACCATCCCTTCATCCAATGAACAAGTTTCAAACATGCCCTGTTTGGGTACCCACCCTTGTTCTGTGCCTGAGTATGAACTAAATGACAGAGATATGAGGTCAATATTAAATAAGCACAGTCCCTGTCTTAATAGCACTTACATGTGGGGGCACAGACAAAACTCAAGTCAAAGGATGGAAGAAAATAATTACAACTTTACTTGACCTTGTAAGGTAAAGAGTACCAAGAAAAGCCTCTTTTTAATAGAGTAGGGGAGAGGAAGTCTCCTTGAGAAGGGGCCATTAAGCTGAGATGACTCAGAATGAGAAGGAACCAGCCATAGTAAAAGGGAGATGGGCAAGGGGAGAAGGAAATTCCAAGTGGGGGAAAAAAATATGAGCCGAGACCTCAAGCTGGAAAAGAATGCTGAGTTTTCAAGGAATAGAAACAAGACCAGCTGGGCTCGAACATGATAAGTGGAGTGTGATATAAAATGAAGTTGGAGGGACAGAAAAAAATGGTAAAGTATCATAAAAATATGAACATTTATCCAAAGTAGGGGTTCTTAACACTTTTTGTGTCCTGGACCCTCCTGGCAGTATGATGAAGCTTAGGGGACTCCTTCTCAGAATGAAATGTTTAAATACACAAAACAAAATCAATATGATTACGAAGAAAAATTGTTATCTCAAAATACTAATAAAGTAAATTTGTGGAATAATAATATATACATGCTCTTTATTAATATATTAAATAAGATCTAATGGAAGTTCTCATAATTCTCATCATTTCTTTTTTTATATATATATATTTTTTTAAGATTTTATTTATTTATTTGAGAGAGAGAGAATGAGAGAGAGAGAGAGCACATGAGAGGGGGGAGGGTCAGAGGGAGAAGCAGACTCCCTGCCGAGCAGGGAGCCTGATGCGGGACTCGATCCCGGGACTCCAGGATCATGACCTGAGCCGAAGGCAGTCGCTTAACCAACTGAGCCACCCAGGCGCCCCTCTTTTTTTTTTTTAAGATTTTATTTATTTTTTTGACAGAGAGAGAGAGCAAGAGCAGGAACACAAGCAGGGGGAGTGGGAGAGGGAGAAGCAGGCTCCCACCCCACTGAGCAGGGAGCCCAATGCAGCTCGATTCCAGGACCAGGAATCATGACCTGAGCCTTCCTGGGATCATGACCTAAAAGGAGCCGAAGACAGCTGCCTAATGACTGAGCCACCCAGGCACCCCCAATTATCATCATTTCTAAAGGAAGGATGAATGCAAACAATATTTCAAGATATCTACAACAATAACGTGACAAAAAAATGTTTGTGATTTCTACTGGCGACAAAGTTATAGGTACTGCTACTATTACTAGGGCTTGTCATCTGCCTCATAATTGAAGGAAATGCTAAACTTGAATGAAAGGGTAGTAAAAAGCCAGATGTCACTTTTCCTCATCCATGTTCCTGAATGCCCTAAATTCTGTTTATTCTATCTTCTTTATGGAGAACCCTAGTCTGAGAGGAGCTTGTTCCCTTACAAGTGTTCTAACTTACATAGACTATTAAGGAAACTGATCTGAGAGGATCCTTATGAAACAAAAAGAAGAGGGACTTCTGCTTATAATAAACAGGTACAAAAGAGAAAACACTTTGTATGTTTTAGGAAATTCCAAAGAAATGCGATGCTGCAAAACCAAATTTGAACACTTTTTTGCTTTCAGCATTTACTCTCAAATTACTTTTTTATTTAAAAGAAAAAAATGTTTTGGGCCTGGGTGGGAGGAAATAAAACAAGGATTCCACAAACTAAAGGCAAGGGTAAAGTCCTTTGGTGAAAGAAAATGGGAAGCCTAAAAAAACAAGTATATTTTAGACACTTAGAGAAAATTTCATAAACTAAAAAGCCTCCTTATTCTTACTCACTTTTAGAAGAAACATCTACTTGCAGAACCTTGCTTTGGGATTCAGTGACCAGAGAATAACTTGGAATTGCTACAGGAGAGCTTATGAGTCATCGGGCATTGAAATAAAACCACAGGGGCGCCTGGATAGCTCAGTCAGTTGGGTATCTGACTCTTGATTTCAGCTCAGGTCATAATCTCAGGGTCGTGAGATTGAGTCCCACGTCGGGCTCTGCACTGGGCATGGAGCCTGCTTAAGATTCTCTCTCTCCCTCTCCCTCCAAGAACCCCCCCCCAACCACATGTTCTCTCTCTCTCTCTCTCTAAAACAAAAGAGAAAAGAAAAAAGAAAAAAAATCACAAAATTGAAAAGCTGTACTTCTCCATCTATTGCTTAATGAAATACGTAATGCTTCTTGAACAAACAAACTGCAATTTTTTGAGAGGGAAAAGTGGCCTGGTTTTAGATTCTATCTGCTATCTCAAAAAGCCTGAGAAGGCAGTGGCACTCTCTGGTATAGTAAAGCGTTGATACAATATAGCATAATGGTTAGAAAAGAGGCCCTGGCATCTCACTGGCCAGGCTTGAAACCCAGCTCCACCAATAACTAGCTGTGCAACCCAGGGCAAACCACTTTTCTAATCCTCATTTCACTACCTGAAAAATAACCGGCCTCATGGGGTTGCTATGAGAACTGGATTAGATGAAAAATATATAAGCTCCTGAGCATAGTAGGGGGCACATAATAAAAAATGGTTAATCAACATTAGAAAAGAACAAGTTCTTCCTTCCCATCCCGACCCTATTACCTCCGTCAAATAGCCAGTTGAGTTCACAAATTTTTCAAATTCAGCATTACTGACTTCATAGGCATCCATGTAAAATGCATCAATAGCAACTCTCCTGGCAGGTGCCTCCCCATCTTGCTTTATCTGAGGATCATCTGTGCCCATTGTAAACACTCCGGCGGGGATGAGGACCATCTGCAGTGAAAGGGGAGACAGGGAGTCATGCCATCACAGCCAAAGTGGACCTGTATAGAGGGCAGAGTGCCTAGCACACAGTAAGCACCCAACAGTTACTACATACCCACCACAGAAATCACTGCACCATCAGTAAAATCACTCCATGCTCCTATGAAAGTGAAGGACTGGTCTCAAAAAGAAGTGAAAATTCTTGGTATGCCTGGCTGGATCAGTTGGAAGAGCATGTGACTCTTGATCTACAGGTCACAAGTTCGAGCCCCACATTGTATGGAGAGATAAATAAAAATGAAAAAAAAAAAAAAGAAGAAGAAATGAAGGGCACCTGGGTGGCTCAGTCTGTTAAGCGTCTGCCTTTAGCTCAGATCATGATCCCAGGGTCCTGGGATCAAGCCCATATTGGGCTCCCTGCTCAGTGGGGATCCTGCTTCTCCCTCTCCCTCTGCTGCTCCCCCTGCCTGTGCTCTCTCTCGCTCTCGCTCCTGCTCTCTGTCAAATAAATAAAATCTTAAAAAAAAAAAAAAAAAGAAAAGAAATGAAAATTCTCTAGGCAAGTAGTTCTTTAGTCAAAAATCTACTTGATACATGCCATGGAAACAGGTCAGGAGCAATAGTCACCACGCTGCTAACGGCTGGAGTGCAAAGGCAGGGAGATACTCCACTTCTTTATACATTTGAGTTTTCCTTTAATATGATCTCATTTCTTTTGAATTATTTTTAAAATCAAATGCAAAAATGCCATATATAATATTCTTAAAAACCACTGAGTGAATGTAGGTCTCCAGTGAAATAGGAAAGACTTAAATCACTGAAATGGAATATCTAAGAAGTTTAATAAGGGACCATGTCTTGTCCTTATTATGTCCTTGTTCTTAATTGATTCCTTATTAAAACTCTAATTGCAATTACTTTGCTCCTATATATGTCTCACATAAACTCTAAACTCCAAGAGGCCATTGGACTGCTTTGTTCACATCTGTATTTCCAGCACTAAACATAGTGCCTAAGGATTGCACCAAAAATATTCAGTTAAGAAATGCAGGCCTATGCTCAACATCATGAATCATTAGGGAAATGTAACTAAAAACTAAAAAGAGAGTCTACTTCATGCCCACTAGCATGGCTATAACCCAAAAGATTGACAATAACAAGTACTGACAAGGATGTAGAAATTGGAACCTTCATACATTGCTGGTAGGAATGTAAAATGATGCAGCTGCTTTAGAAAACAGTCTCTTGGTTCTTCAAAAATCTAAATAAAGAGTCACCATATGACACAATTTCACTTCTATATGCCCAAGATAAATGAAAACAAATATCCATGTTCATAGCAACACAAATGTTCATAGCAACATTATTCAGAATAGTCAAAAAAGTGGAAAGTCAAAAGTCCATCAAATGACAGATATACAAAATGTGGTATATCCATTAAATGGAATATTATTCAGCCAGAAAAAGGAATGAAGTACCAATACATATTACAATATGGATGAACCTTGAAAACATTATGCTAAGTGAAATAATCTACTCACAAAAGGCCACATATTATATGATTCCATTCATATGAAATGCCCAGAACAGACAAATCCAAGGAGACATAAAGTAGATTAGCTGTTGCCACGGGTGGGAGGGAAAAAGAAATGGGGAATGACTGCTAATGGATATGGGGTTTCTTTTTGGGGGTGATGGAATGTTCTGGAATTACTGATGATGATTGTGAAACCTTGTGAATGAACTGGGAAACAATTGTTCAATTTATAAGGGTGAATATTATGGTATGTCATTCTATCTTAATTAAAAAAAAAAACACAATCATATCATCTGTCAGAAATATATTCTGCAGACACAGTATCTTACTTTCTAATCAGACAAGTGAAAAATCAATTCATTGACCTCCCAGCAGCATAAGAATTGTGAAGACTCTAATTCATAAAATAAGGGTTCAGATTGAGGAAGGAAAAAAAGGAAGCCAAAGAGAGATAACTAGTTGGAATAAAAAGAAAGACTGTGATTTAGCAATAACAGCAGAAGACCTAGTAAAACAAGATTAAAAGAAACGGAAAGTAGCAATGAACAATCATTGATTCCTATGTTCTATTTCCATTGACTCTCTTTGCTGGTGGTTGTCTTTAATTCTGTGCATATATTTCCCAATGAAAATGGAGCTCTTTTCATCTATGACGTATGGGTAATAAATGTCTTATTTGTCCAATGTATTACCATTACTCCAAGAAATCATGCTTAACTACTCCTGTCCCCTAATCCCAGCATTACAGAGGTCACTCCATCTTACTGGATCTCTCCCTTCTTTCTATTCCCAGGCAACTGCAGGAGTCTCACAACCAGTCACCCTGTCTCCAGTCTCATCCTGTCACATCCCTCCTTGCTCCTCTCTAAGCCATTTATCTTCTGTTCAGTCATTCATTCTGAAATGTGTAAGCACCTACTGAACTTTCTGAAATGTCAGCCTTTGGTATCCAATGCAACTTATTACAGCTCTGTCTTTAACAGAAAAAGATTGGCAATAAACTAAATGTCTATCAGTAGTGGACGGGTTAAGTAAATTGTGGGCCATCCACACAACAGAAAATTAAACAGCCACAAGAAAAGGAAATATATGATATTTATAAATATATAGTAAATATAGTAGATTAATCACTTATAAAGCTAACATGAAGGTTAAGAGACAAAAGTAGTGAAAATAACTCATTAAAAGAATTAGTTAAGGGATAAGTAAGATGAAAAGATATAAAACTAGATATCAAAAACATGAAACATGGCAGCAGGGAGTAAAAATGTTAAGCCTTAGAATGCAATCAAACTTAAATTGCCTACTTAAAAAAAGGCTGTTATAGATATAAGTTGTTACGTGTAAACCTCATGGTAATCACAAAGGGAAAACCTATAGTAAATACACAAAAGATAAAGGAAAAGGAATATAAGCATACCATAAAGAAAGACATCAAACCACAAAGAAGGGGAGTAAGAGAATAAAAGAGGAACAGAGAGGAATAACCAAAAAAGCCAGAAAACAATGAACAAAATGGCAATAAGTACTTACCTATCAATAATTACTTTCAATGTAAATGGACTAAGTTCTCCAATCAAAAGACATAGAGTGGCTGAATAAATTAAAAAACAAGACCCATCTATATGCAATCTACAAGACACTCACTTGAAATGCACACAGAGACTGAAAGTGAGGGGAAGGAAAAAGATACTCCAGGAAAATGGAAACCAACAGGAAGCTAGAGTAGCTATACTTATATCAGCAAAATCAACTTTAAAATAGAGACTACAATAAAACACAAAGAGCACTACATAATGATAAAGGGGCCAATCCAACAAGAGGATATAACATTTGTAAAAAAATTTATGTAGTCAACATAGAAGCACCTAAATAAATAAACCAAATATTAACAGACCTAGAAGGAGAAACAGACAGCAACACAATAATAACTGGGGACTTCATATCCCACTTACATCAATGGATAGATCACCCAGACAGAAAATCAATATGGAAACAGCAACCTTAAACAAAGTATTAGACCAGATGAACTTAACAGACATATACAGAACATCCCATCCAAAAGCAAAAGAAATACACATTCTTTCCAAGTGCACATGGAACACCCTCCAGGATAGATCACAGGTTAGGCCACAAAACAAGCTTAATAAATTTAAGAGGACTGCAATCGTATCAATCATCTTTTCCAAGCACAAATGATAGGAAACTAGAAACCAATTCCATAAAGAAAATGGGAAAATTCACAGATACGTGAAAATTAAACAACATGTTACTAACCAATCAAGAGGCCAAAGAAGAAATCAAAAGTTACATAAAAAAATACCATGAGACAAATAAAAATGGAAATAAATCAAAATTTATGGGATGCAGCAAAAGAAATTCTAAGTTCAGAGCAATAAACACCTACCTTAAGAAACTGGTTCTTTGAAAAGATAAAAATGATAAATCTTTAGCTAGACTCACCAAGAAAAAGAGAGGATACTCAAAATCAGAAATGAAAGAGGAGATATTAGAAATGATGCCACTGAAATATAAAATATCATTAAGAAACCATGATGAATAATTATATGCCAAAAAATTGGACAACCTAAAAGAAATGGAAAAATTTCTAGCAACATACAACCTACCAGACTGAATCATGAAGAAATAGAAAATCTGAACAGACTGATTACTACTAAGGAAATTGAATCAGTAATCAAAACTTCCCAAAAAACAAAAATCCAGAACCAGATGGCTTCCCTGGTGAATTCTACCAAACACTCAAAGAAGAATTATAACCAATTCTTCTCAAACACTTCCAAAAAATTGAAGATGAGGGAGTGCTTCCAAACTCATTTTATAAGGCCAGCATTATCCTAACACAGAAAGCAGACAGGATGCTGCAGGAATAAGAAATTATAGGCCAGTATCTCTGATGAACATAGGTGCAAAATTCCTCAACAAAATATTAGCAAACTGAATTCAAAAATACATTAAAGGATTATATACCATGATCAAGTGGGATTTATTCCTGGGATGAAAGGCTGGTTCAATATCCACAAATCAGTCAATGTGATACACCATATTAACAAAATGTATGATAAAAATCATATGATCACCTCAATACATGCAAAAAAGCATTTGACAAAATTCAACATCCATTTATGATAAAAACTCTCAATAAAGTGGGTATAGACAGAATGTACCTCAACATAATAAAGGCCATATATGACAAGCCTACAGCTAACATCATACTCAATGGTAAAAAGCTAAAAGCTTTTCCTTTAAGATCAGGAATAAGACAAGGATGCCCACTCTTGCCACTTTTATTTAATTTAATATTGGATGTTTTAGCCAGAGTAATTAGATGAGAAAAAGAAATTAAAGACATCCAAATTATAAAGGAAGAAGTAAAAATGTCACCAGATGATATATATAGAAAACCCCAAAGACTCCACCAGAAAACTGTTAAACTAATAAACAAATTCCAGTA